ATCTCTAGAATTGAAAGAAATATTTAAATTTAAAGAATTTTATTTTTTTGTTGCATTATTTATGATCGCCACTGTATAAGATATAATTTAAGGATATAGAGGATAAATAAATTTATTAAAAAGAATAATGCCGCAAACAATTCATTGTCTGAAACGTATGGAGGTATACTATTGGACATTTTAAATTTAATGTCGTTCTGTAAATTCGTGTTAAAAATATATATATTATATATTATATTATTTAATGAAACTAGGGAACGATAATAAAATAATTCTATTATAACTTAAAAAATTTTTTGATTTTCAATAGAATGTTTTATTTTTTCACAACTGATGCCTTAGTCAAATTGATATGTGAATTACTAAACTTTATTTACATTTATATTAAATTAATAAACATGTGCAAGTGTTATATATGGGAGGTAAATATTGTTAATAGCAGTTCTTTAGTGTTTATGGATTATAAACAGAGTTTAAGGTAATTAAGGTAAGCAGAAGGATTTAATATTTTGTGTTTAATGTTTTTTATCTATAATAACCAATGATGGCTTTGGACAAGGTCCAATTGAAAAAAATTTGGACTATTGGAATTGGACTATTGGATTAGTCCACTCCAAGTCCAATTGCAATTGGACACTAATGGAATTGGACTAGGTCCACATTAGTCTAATAAAATAATGGACTATGTCCAATAATATTTATTATTATTTTATATAATAAAGCATTCAAATGCAACATTCAATCCCAATGGGGTAAATTTATTGAGAGTTGACTGTATATATAATAATAATAATAATAATAAAATAAAAAATAAAAATAAAAATTTGAATTAACAATATAAAGTTTTTTTTTTTATAATATTTTATTAAGTAAAATTAAAGTAATTATTTAATTAAAATGGTTATAACTTATTATTGTAATATAAAATTAACTTTCTTTAAATAATTATATAAAACTACTTTAAATGGAACTAGATATAAGTCCAATAGTCCAATAAAATTTGGAATTGGATTGGACAAGGTCCAATAGTCCAATAGTCCAAAAGGCCATCACCGATAATAACGGAGTTTCTAATATAATACAACGTAGATAAGGTATTGCCTACAACGTCGGCGCTCTATATGATCAGGTACTTTCATTAATTATTATCGGAGTTATTACAGTTATTACGAAATTTATTATTTAAGGTTATCGGATTTATTAAACACTAAATATGAAAATGAATGCGAAAATTATTTGTTGCACATCTAATCGGAATATGAATCTTATCTTATTTTTATTAAGGAAATATCCCGCCGTTTATATACATGAAAAACAATAGGACATATTTGTCCAGGCGACTGAATTGGCTGGAGAACCTGTGTGTGTGTGTGTCTCTCTCTCTCTCTCTCTCTCTCTCTCTCTCCAATGGCCAAATGATTTTCATTGCTCTAACTAAATAATCGCTAGTCGAATTTAATACTAAAATAATAATTTAAAAAAATAGAAATAACTAATACTAATGATAAATATAATATACCAAATGCAACTCATAATACTCCTGCTAAAAAAAGTTTGAAGTGCTTTATTTTTTTTTTTTTAACTAAAAGGTAAAAATTTTTTGAATTCGATGTCACGTGATTTTCCTCCATAGTTACCGAAAATATTGAAACACCGTAATAAATTTCTTTATTTTTGTCTCTTGCGTTAAATGGAAAGGCTCCCATCTTATTTATTGATGATATTTTGGAAAATACAGGTTACTTCCATTATCAAAGATATAAATTATTCAAAAAAAAAAAAAAATTTCTTTTACGATAAATCAAATTAAAACCTTAATGCATACATACATATGATGAATGCAATTCGAGGAATCTGCCAAATTTACTTTATGTTTCAAGATAATTACATGCTAATCATATGACTTATACATATTGTTTTAGCAGTTTTTCCTTTCTATATATTTCATAATAAAAAACAGAAAGTGAAGATATTACCCAAAATCAAACCTCAAGTGTGAAAAATGCTATAAATTTTATCGCTTTTATATAAAAATTTAACGAAAATATTTTTTGCTTCTAATTAAGCTCTTTTTTTTAGTACAAACTCTACATTACATGCCAAGTTAAAAAAAAATCCTTGTTTTTATATATAAAATATACAGTACAGTATATTAAGTAACGCATTATAATGTCCTCAACGCATAATCAACATTGATGTTATGCAAAATATTCATCATATTTTAAAAAAATATATATGGGAAGTTTGCTATTAAAATCACGTTATGGATCTTATGATTTATTATGTCTCGTAAATCAATTTTAATAATATCCTTCGCAATTGATATAAATTCATGCCTGCCGTTTTTATTTGATGATGGTTTGTGTCCCTTAAAAGTTCCTTACGTCACCTCTACTTGTTCCCTTTTTTAGAAAATTGAATAAATAGAGTGACGGACTTTAAAAGTTTCCGTTTATCTAGTCTAAAATGCCTATTCATTCTTAAGAAGTGTAACACAAATTTCATCCTCAATATTATGTATGAAAGTGTGAAAAAATAATAATAAAGTTGAGGTCTAAATAGTTTTTTTTTATTGTATTAATTTCATTCACATGGTGATACAAAACAAAAACCATTTCTGATTTTTGGATCGGACATTTTATTCCGTACAATTAAATTCTGGAAAACAAATTCCGGCACAATTAAAATTCCGGAAAACATTTGCGGTAACATTTTCCGGACTTTGTTTTTTTTCATTTCTTATAAATAAAGCAGCTTGGAATCTTTATCGTATCCTATACCATATAAACCATGAACTCAACGTACACTTACATTGGTAAACCCGTGTCTTTTTGTAAAAATGATATTAGTTTCACCTGTAAGGAAATATCATTAGACTTAACCACTGCAGTTGAAATTTTGAACTTATTAGACATCGTTATTATTACTGATCATGGTTATATACTTTATCATCAACAACCTGATACACTAATCACTTCGAAAATTTATGAAATAATGCTTGAATTCAAGAATGAACAAAATTCGCAAAAGTTTTTAGAGAAAAGCCAAGAATCGATTAAGGAGTGCTTAACCCGCTGGTTGACACCAGGAATGATAACCTCTAATACCAATACATATATATATAATAAAAAATTAACCTTGATAGATAGTTGGCCTAGATTTGCGAATAATCCAAACATGTTTGGTAATCAAAAAATTATTTTATTTTTTTTTTACAAAATACTTTTAGTGGTGAAATGGAAGGATAGTCATACTTCACTTTTGCTTGAATATTTGGCTGCTCATAAGGAAAAGGTTTTACTACTAGAAAGACGCGGTTCTGCAGCTAAGAAAGTGAGATCGACTCTCTGGAATGGAGCTTCGATTTTTTTACGAGAAAAAGATTGCTTTCGCCTACCTTTTCAATGTGAATATAAGTGGAAGAATTTAATGCAGGCTTATAATGTAAAATTATTTCTTAAAAAAATCAAAAGACTTAAAAGGTTAATTCTAAAATTCTAATAATTGAATGTTTAATTTAGAATAAGTATCATAGGATTCGGTTTAGTTCACAAATTGAAGCAATTCTTGGTAGATCTAGGTGCGTATCAACGAATTTTAGCGCATTATTTTTCAAAACAATATCTGACTGATAAATCCTTACATTAAAAGACAAAACTCGTTGGAATCAGTTGAGTCTGATTTAGATTCTATTCCTGAAACTAGAAATCGTAAGTATGTTTATTAATTGTCAAACATTAAATTATTATATTCAGATAAATTTATGACAAAATTCCTTTTTTCAACATTTTAGATGGTTATACCGAATATAACGAAAACAACCTTAGTAGTATATATTATGATTAATTGTTCATATTATCCATTTATCCTTCCCGTTTATAAATTTCTATTATTTATTAAATTAAATTAACAATAAAATTACGAGATTTTTTGATCAGTGATGTTTTTTCTTCAGAATTACAATAATTAAATTTATTTAATAAAAATTAGCAATGTACCTGATTAAATAATTTGTTGCAGTAACGACAACGAATTGTCAAATGAGACAGATTTAAATCATCCTAATCCTGATTTAAATTTAGCACGTCAAATTTCAAGGTACTTCCAACCAAGTAATTATTCTGCTTTTGTTGGGATGGAATGCCCTGAAATTCTGAATAACAGCAATTGAACTCTTTTGATTAACAGATTTTTATATGCTGTTTACCATACATGGAGTATTACTTTTATTAATAAATTAAAACAAGTCAAAATGATTCGAAATTTATTTTCTATTAGAAATTATTTTAAAAAGAATATATGAAAAACATTTAAAATTATGGACGAAATTGCTTATTTTTCAATAAATTATAGCAAAATTTTATAGATTTAATTTATTATATATATGAATTTCAAAAAAAGTTTTTTTTTTATATCGATATTAATATATTTGTATAAAACAAAACCTTCCCGACACGATTACGTGATGCGAAATTTATTCTTAAGAAAAAATTGCGACAGAGAAAAATTTCTACAAATTAATACATTTTTGTTAAAGTTTTGTACGTTAGAAAAAAACAATCGCGGATTTAAAGAAAAATTTTACTCGGAACGCGAAATTTTTTTTTAAAAAAATTCGCGATAAAAGAAATATTTATTTTTTAAAATCGATGACGCGAAAAAATTTTCCACTTTCTTATCCAAACTATACGGATTATATCAAAGTTTAGAAATTTTAAGTTCTGGAATAACAAATTACAATTTATATCTAATTTTTATGTTATTTTTCTATATATAAGTTGCATTCTTATGTAACCGTCACATATTGACTCAGTTTTGAGCGGGCGCCGCGTACGGTCATTATTTTTTATAATAAAATATTTCTTTATACATAATTATTGGTGTAGGTTTACTGAAATTTTTTTTTATAATAAGAGTAGTTTATTCAATTTAACAAGCAATAAGGTTAAATTTTCACATGTTGTATTATCTATTATATATATTAAGAAAGGATAAACACTTTAAACACAAAACTAGAGTTTCCATAAATAACGTTGTGTTGCCCTTATTTAGCAAAATAAAAAATATAATTTGTCATTGTTTTTTTTAAAAATATTATATATCCTGTATATTTTCATATGTAAAATTATTACTGTTGTAAAGTAATAGCATTCATTATAAAGTCAAAAAACATTTTAAAATTAATAAAAAAAATTTTCTGTCATTTATTCATTCTTGTTTGATAATGAGAAAATGGGGGCGCTTCTTGTATAATAAAAAATGGGGTGAGTGCTGGGAAAAGGGACCAAATTAATTTTTTTTTTACAAAAATTTATTTTAGGTGTGTAACTTCTATCGCGCCTCCCCCAAAAACTTACTGCGGACCTTTAAATTACCTTTATAAATAATATAAAGTGTGTAACCATTTCGTTCCTTTCTATGTATGTATGAAAGTCAATTCTTTGCCCAATTCTCAATAAAGCAATAAAGGGAACGAACATATTGAATGTTTATTTATTTCAGTATGCAATATCTGAGTTACACAAAGTTTATCAAACTAGGTTGTGTACTTACTATATAATGGTTGCAATTTCACTTTATTATTTTTTATACGATCAAAAGAAAGAAATAAATCTTTGAACAATACTAAATCAACATACTACCTGATGAACGCTATTGAATTTAAGTTTTTTCACCTTTCACCAGACGTGATTTTCTATCAAGTAATTTGTAAGATTATGCAAGAAAATTCTGTTTTCGCGAATGATTATGATTATGATCACGAATTTTTTTATCAAAGCTCAAATGATCGCACATTATATTATCATGTTGGGTGCAAACACTTATCACATCATGTAATCGAACATTTATTGAATTTGAGTGAAATAGAGCTTGAATAATCACGTACAACAATATTATCTTTACAACAAAAATTATGTCTCGAACAAAGTTTGAAGCTAAAACTTGATACTCTATTTTGGCTACATCATAGCAATATAGCAACATATATTACTCCGACAGCCGATATTAATCAAAATTGTAATAGTAAATCTCAAACATAATACTAACTTGTTACACATATCATTATAGATTATATCTCTATTATAAGGTAACGCGCGTGTTTTATAAAGTATCTTTATTAAATTAATTTATTTAGGCGCGATTTGATGATATTTGCATTATAAAAAAGTTATACTTATATTGTCATTTTTATGAAATTTTTAAGGAATAGTCTTTAAAATATTTTCAAATACTCTTGTACATGCGACCTTTTTCTAGGTCACAATTTAAATTATAGATTTTAATGAAACTTTTAGACGGAATGAAATTTTAATGATTTTCATTAGATTTTTTTTCTATATTAAAAAATTATTTTGCACTATTTTTTACTATTCATTAAACCATTGAAGAAAAGAACAATATCAAAACATGTCGTTTGGCAAATAAAAGATATATATCCTAGCCTTTATTAATTTTGTTTCAATTATTTGCTTTAAATTTAGAAATTTAGTGTTCACATTAAAATGATGAATGATAATTTTTTTTATTGAGCAATCAAATTTTCAAGCACTTTCGTCAGTTTGAAATTACTTAACATTCGTTTTGAAATAATTTTTTGCTACTTATAAAAATAGAAAATGATATTTAATTTATGCCTGCCAAAGCTCTTTCACTTAGTCCATTTGAAAATTTTAGAGGCTTAAATGTTAATTTGATTCCACAGTACATGATTTTATGAACTCTACTACATGAATATTGCTTTTTACTGTATTTAAAGTTATCCCATCGATATTATATATTCTAACTTGCATTTAATTAATATTTACATACATTACTCAATATAAGTGCTGTATTCAAAATACGAAATTGTTGATTATTATTAATTTTTTTATAAGCACAAGCCCGTGAACGCTTTTATGTCCTGTACGTTGCATAAAATAGCTGTTCTGGAACTTCTTGACTATGCCACCCGGTTTAAATTGATTATTTGTAAGTAATGATGTTCTCCTTCACGCATATCAAATATAATCAATCATTAAATAATACATTGTATTTTTTTTTAACGCATATATAAAAAAAAATAAAAGCAAAAGAATAAATAAATAAAATAAAGCTACACTTAAATATAAGAATGATCTAAAAACGCACTTATTATATGTGTGGAATTATCATATCCATTTTAACCTGGGTTATTTGCAGTAAAAGAAGACACTTTTATACAATTTTTAATTTTGTAAAAAGGGAACGGAGCATTAAAAGCATGAAAGAGAACGCTAGAAAAAGTAAAAAAAAAAATGCTTTAAATTTCTATTAATAATTCCACCGGAGTATTTATTAATAGAGTATTTATTAATACTGAACAGACTAATGCAGAAGCCACATGATGTTCTAATTTAAAATTTAAATTCAAAAAATATAAATTTGGATTCATTCATTAATATAATCTTGTGAATGTGATTTATGCTTATAAAGAAAAAGATGCTTCTTTTTAAATTTTTAAAAATTGAAACTTACTAATAGTAAACCGGAGACGAACCAAAAGTATACTTAGAATTGATAATTGATGTGAAATATTTTAATTTATAACGTAATATTTGTAATACAAAATGCCTTTCAAAACCAAATGAATTCTGCAATTTTTTTTTCATAAATTTTTTATTTCCGTACAATTTTTTTAAACATAAAAAAAGTGCGAGTGACTATTTTAAATATTCTCGGGAAAGTACGTGACTTTTGAAATTAGCTGTAAAGTAAAGGTGTGTCAGGAATATATGCGGGCCACATGTCATCAAATTAGTGCCAAACCCAGTTGAAACTCGAGTTTGGTCTAACATACGTCGATTCGTCCCTTCGGGCAAGATTCATATTTAATTCTTTCCTTATAAATCTAAATTGTAAATAAAAATTGTCTAGCAAACCATGTAACATCAGTAATTTGGGACAAAGTCTCAAATGATTGGGAAATTGAAAATGTGCATCACTGCCAATTATATTCTTATTAGTCCAGAGGGTTAGCATAGGACTATAAGGGGTGACACAAAAATGTCTGTCTGGCACATGACAATAAAAGTGTGAATTAAAATGACGCTTTGGACTTATAATGGTATCTTTCCCTAATAAGTGTTTATTAATAAAAAGAAAAGAATAAGAGGATTGATTGTATTGACCTAAAACAGATTCACATTGCAGAAAATATTCATATTAATGCTTAACGTTTTCGGCTAAGAAGAATTCTAGTTTGTTTTTCTTTTTTGGTAATGATGCATTTGCTATCAATTATTAAAAATTTTGAATTTTTTTTTTTAATTTCCTGATCGATACCACAATTAGTTAAATTAGTTAGGCAATTTATTAGTATGCATGTGTTACCTCCTATTTGCATAAGAGAGGTAATTAATATATTTTATATGGTTTATTATAATCGATGTAATTTAGCGAGAGAGTCAATGTATATCAATTGTAAAATAATTAAAAATAAAGTTTTATTGAATTGAATAAATACGTAGTTTTTATTATATAAAATGATAAAAGAATATAATAAATGCACTATTACTGCCTCTATAGGCGCTCTGTAAAAGGCCCAAAGAGAAAAGAACTATCTATTCAAAATATGGTTCAAATTCTATCGTTAACCAAGAGCGAAAAAAAAAACTCTTTTATATTATAAATTCCTTCCTAAGGCTTTGCTACGGCATTTTCTATAACTTGCGGCTTGGATGACGGAATGCCAATTAATTGATCCCTGATGTCAAAATGGTCATTTTGACATGCTGTAAATCTTTCATCTTGCCAAGGAATCCGTATTGTCCTAAAGGTCCAAAATGTCGATGCCAACAGATCCGCCAGAATTGACATATTTGATCGTCATAGCCGCGGTGATCCAATTTTAGCTCTGTCAAAACCCGAGGGTGACGCATGCACGGTATTTTTTACAATAATAAAAATTGTCATACCCATAGTTCCTTTAATTTATTCTTTAATTTTATTGAGGTAATTCACATGACGAATGCAGGTATGCAAAGCCTTTTCATCATGCACAAAATGGTAATTAAAATGAAGTTTATAAATTATAAATAATTCTTATACCAATGTTCAAAAGACTCCAACATATATTATCATATTTCTGTGGTATGGGGTCGGACTTATCACGATAACCTACAGTAGATTCTTTTTTAAGATACATAAAAATTAAATTTATACGAATTTTGACCAAATAGAGGTCGCATTTTTTTTTTTTGCGAGGATTTTTTTTTTCTTGCATATAGTTCAATCTACATAGTTTCATAAACAACTATCGTAATTATCAGAATTTAATGAGTATTTCCCCCACATTGTAAGTATTACCCTACATTGAATGGAATAACTCCACCGATAATAATTTAAAAATAATTGGCGATTCAATTTTACTAACATCCAATATCTGATTATAACAAACCAATCAAGAGAGCTCGAAATTATATGCCAAGATTTAATTTTATAAACACGAGAACAAAATTATTTATCCAAATTTTAATATAATTCATCCGAATTTAATTTATGCTACTACCAAGCCAACACTCATTATAGATTAGAATAAGCTAATTCGTGTAATAATTAAATCTGAAGTTGTTATTAATTTGTCATTTACTGCAGAGAATGATTGTAATCGACCTTATCAAAATAATTAAGAATTCTCAAGGAAGTTTAAAACCGGATAAATTACCCCTGATTTAATGAATGTGATCCAATTCCCAAGGACAGAATTTTATTCCAAGCCTTATTAAACAACTTTAAGTTAGATTAGTCGATAAAATAATCAAATTCATGTAAACGCATGTTGCTGATTTCATTTATGCTACCCAAACTCCTAACATGAATATATTTGGAAATATTAATAATCTTACATAATTCATGATGTTATTTACATGAAGACACATTATGCTACTAACATATGTTTTTTACCGTAAGGGACGACAATCTAGAACTTTTCATCGATTTCGATTTCGTTTATTGGCTAATTTTTCAGAGGCTATACATAAATCCGAAGCATTAAATTTCCCCTGCATATAAATAGATAAATATTTGATGTCATTCATCCGATAAGAATGTAAATTATCATGGAAGAATATGAAATTTTAAGTTTAAGATTTTAATTTGTTGCATTTAACTAGTAAAAAAAAAAGGTTATCTATACAATAACTTAGAGTTGAATTCATGCTTATTATTGTGTCTGTACATAGTCAATCTTTAATAAATTCGTTTCTTGATTTTAGTAATTCTTTTGATGCTTAAAATGTTGTACCTCCATATGGCCAGGGTTGGGAATTTTGTATGTACTAGATAAAATTAATAGTGTACTTGTACTAATTTTTATATTAATTATTATAATGTATTAACTGTGCTAATCATTGTACTAGCAGTGTACTTCCCAATCCTGCATATGGATAAAACAAAAGTATTTCTTAATAGTATTTCGTACAAGGTCTGGAATGGATTTACTACTATTGGTTTAAATTGTAATCAACAAGGGGAAGTCCTTAAACCATAATAGGATAGTAAGATCCAAAAACCTAGACGGAAATCCTTGTTCAGCATATTCGAGAATGGAATGCAGATTGGAATGCAGAACTTTCTATGACCACATCTGATACTGCACGCAATTAAATAGCATCTAAATTTACATCTCCAACAATTGTTATTAATAATTTTTTTTATTTTTGCATGCTTATAAATGTCGTAAATTGACTTTATATGAAAATTGTCCATGAAAAATTATTAATTTAATAATGGATCAAACTGAAAGTAATGAGGTGCCTACTTCCGTTCGTCCTAATAATATCAATGAACAATATGTTCAACGTACTTCAATTAACAACGTCGACTTTTCAAACGTCAATAATGAAAACTCTCTACACGTTCATGGTTCGGTTCCTGTGACTCAAAATGTCACGTATGAGTTTTATTTACCTACAGGTGACGCGCGCGTTTATCTTGTTACGTATACCGAATTATCAACACACGAAATCGCACGACGTTTGAACAGTAGGGTTAATTTATCACACATTCCAGAATACCAATTTCCGTATCATTATAATTTACAATCGTTGATTCATCAACAAATTCAGCAACAAGTTCAGCAAACCGGTAATTATCAACGCGATAATAATTCTGATGCCATGATGATTCAGCCTACTACCCAAGCGTATTCGGAAAATCACATTTTTAATGCGTCTACGATTCCTTCAAGCGAAGTCGTTTCTGACACGATACAAGTCACGCCAGATATTGGAAGCGATGAGGGAGATATCGGGTTGACAAACCGCGTCGATCCAAAATAATTTTTTGATCCTTTAAGCTATGTGAGTGAACATTAAGGTTATGCACATGTTATATAATATGCCTTTGATAAGAAGTTGTTTTATATCAAATATGTCTTGATTAGATTTAATAAGCTACCCCTAAGTAAATTAAAATTTAATGGTAATTATTATGAAATAAGATATTATAAGTATAATTTCGTAAAGCCAAATTATCTCATAAAAAACATACATTACAGAAAAAATCTTTAATAATCTTTTCATGTTCTTTTTTTTTGCATTATCACTTTAAGACACGATATATATCTTCAAAATGTTCTTATTTTACGCTCTTATGATTTTTTTTTAATTAAGTGGCACAAAATTATCTCACCATTAAGACTGTAAGAATTTCAAGGAATGCGATTGATTATCTTGATGGTTGTTTTACAAAAGGATTTTGAAATTTATCACCATTCTTGGCATGAATTATTTATTATTAGATAGAGGTTTTTTTCGTATATTTCGTATAATTTTTACATTTAATAATAAAGAAATTTAGCCAAAAAAAAGTTGCTTTTTTATCATGTTTACATGCCTTTCAGCTCAAAATTATTAAAGCATCCCAGTGATCCATTTAATCGAATTGTCGTAAAATATAATTTCTTTTGCTCATAAATAGTTGAATTTTCCAGAATAATCTTGATAAAATTTCATTAGCTCCATTAAAATCAAGAAAATTTAAAAAATCTAGCGATTGACAAACCTTTATAACAATAGTTATAGAGGTATGGATAGTATGAGATTTTATTCAAACCTTTGATTAAAATTATGGAGCGTTATATGTCAAGGCAATACAAAAAATTTTCATATTTGAATTTTTTTTTAACAAAAGAAAAGAATCAAATGTATAAAGTATAACAAATTTAGGACAATAGGTCTTCATAAAAAAATACTTGGCGTTTTCAAGATTACCATAATGCGAAACAATTAACGGAGATTTAAAAAAAAAAAATCGCCGTTTCGTTTTTAAATTTTTTGACGTAAAATATGAATAAGTAGAGCGGTCGTTTTAAATTCATGCTTTTATGTGTGTGGTCAATCAAAAAAAAAAAATGTATGTATACTAAATGCATTTAACATAAATGTTAAAAAACAAATAAAACCGGTACCGATTTTCATAATATACATGTGATCACAGAAATCATTACACTAAAAATGTTTGAAATGTGAAACAGGTTATCAAAAAAGGGGTCATCATTATTTATTTTTTAATATTCTTGATTAATTAATATTATTATAAACAGAAGATTTTAAAAAGATAATGTGGGATTTATTCATAAAGCACAATTTTTCGATTTTTGGAACAATAATTGATGTAGCAAATGGCGGGTCTTGATTCGAATGAACTTATGCCGCTTTCTCGACGCAATTTGAATTCTATTGTAATTATTAATTACAAAAAGCTAACCATAGTTTTACGTAAATCACTCATGCAGTTAATATGAGAAAAGGATGATTTGCAAAAAGGACAAGAGATTAGGTTTATTAAAACGCAATTATTGAAAGCAACCTTGTTAAAATTATGAATTTAAGATATCCAAGATGATATATTGTTAGTTTTTGTTATTATGAGCTTTTCCAATTTTTTAAAATCAAATCTTCAATATTTTAAAACCACGTGCTTTTTATCTAATAATCGTCGACTTTAATTAGTCACACTGTACCTACAAAGGTTACGTACGTACCTCCTATCTGTTATTATAGACTAATTTTTTTAAAAAAAATTGAGCGTGCAGTATCTCGCATTAGATTTCCTTTTAGGTATTCTTTAACATTGATACTTTCTTTTGATTACACTTTAGAAGTATTAATTTTGAATATTAAGGTTCGATTTTCAATCTTTTTTTTTTTGTAAAAAAAAAAGAAAAAATAAGTGCAATCACGAATGGGAGAGTTTTGTTTTTTAATTTGCTTATTTTGGGCATAATTTGAACTCTTTTTTTTTTTTGCTACATAAGTTTCTTTAAAACGTTTACATTTACATTTAAATAATAATTATTACATCTCGGAGTAGTAAAGTACTAAGTATTCCACAACTCCCATCAAAGAAAAATAGCAAAGATCGACGCATTGGGCAACAAAAAACAATAATGTCAAACAATCGGTTGACAACAATAGAACTCTGATTTAAATCTATTCCACAACAGAAATTATTTTTTTTTTTTTCGTGAAAAAAAAAAAAAGGAATAAAAAATATTTTTTTGAAAACTCCGATTCATTTTTTTTTTTCGCGTCATGAATGTCCGTCATAACGCGTTAATTTAATTATATATGGTGATATTCTGCAAAATCAAAAAACATTTCGATCATGTGGGACCTTTGCAATAAATATAAGGGGGGAAACTACTGGGAAAAATAAAAATAATGAGTTAATGCTAGCTAAATCTGAACATATTATGACCTGAAAAAAATCATATTTGATTTTTCCCGGGAGTTTCTCCCCTTATCTATTGCAAAGGTCCAATGTTTTTTGCTGTTGCCGTATTTGTGATAGATAAACTGTCAATGAATGAAATAAACTTGGGGTTTTATTTTTCGTACACCCAGATGCATATGCTTTAGAACTTTCTTTAAAACTTCTCGATTTATTAGAATTATGTTATAATATGGTGAATACAAAGGAGTTTTAGAATAACGTTTCATGTCAGCCCAATTAGTATTAATTACCACCTTTTGGGGCAGATTTAGCTAATATTCCATTTTTTCGTTCTTTTTTTTTCTTTTTTTTCTTTTCAATTTTTTTTTGTTTTGTTTGTTTGTGGCGTAATTAACCTTTCTAACTAAAAGATCGTAAATCGAATGTACTTTTAAGTATATTATGATTTGACAATATTTATGCAACAATCTCATTTATAGCTAACTGTTTGGATCCCAAATTGGACACATGTAGTACTTCTTTCACAGTATATAAAAAAAAACCTTGCAAAAATCCCTAATAGAAAGAGAGCATAACGCGAAACGCAAATGATGAAATATATCGAGTACAAAGATAATCCTTTGAAAATATAAGTTTTATGGTACGGTGATGATTCAAGGAATTTATTTTTTTGTAAAAATTACAGTGGATTATGTTTAATAATCTAATCTCTTTAAAAAAAAAAAAAAAAAAAAAAGAAATTAATAAGTTCAATTATGTGAATCAAATGCGATTTAACAAGAAAAACTTGAACTGAATAAACAAATTACAAATTAGGATAAAAAATAATGGTTTTGGGAAAAAAAAAAATTTTTTTTTTTTCATGAAAGAAAAAAAGAAAGGTTGATAAAAAAAATTAAGCCGCATTGTTCAAAAAAGTTTCGGAATGGTCTACAGTAGAATGTAATTTTAACGTATATAAAATAATTGTTATAAATATACAGTACCATCAAAACAAAAAAATAAATCTATAAAATAACAAAAATAAATTCTAAACCTACCCTACTATCATCCAAATTTGTGTAAATAATAATAAGACTTACTCGTAACATACCTTTGTGTTTTATAATAAAAAAAAACGCTCTTATTTAAATATGCAAGGTCACAATATGAATATAACACCACGATCGCAATATCTTCATGGACCGAACTCGTATCCCTCATATTTGAATCTCCAATCAAATATGGCCTCTTTACAAATGGTTCCAGACATTCATAATGATATTAATCTTGACGAAAACCAGATTTCGTACCAAAAAAATGATGTTGATAATGATTTTATCCAACCAATCTCTTCAAGTAAATTTTTACAACCAATTCAATGTCATCACATTTATCCGTCACCTCACTTTCCTTCATCCGATCCTTTTCAAAATAATCAAGGAAATTTTAACACAATTGGGCCCAAAACCTCGCATGCATGGAACGAATATAAATTCTTTTATAAACCACTTAACGATTTTCAAATTTACGATATTTTTTGTAAAGAAATATCATTTGAACAATATTTAAAATATATTGATGTTCAATCAAGTAATAAGTATGTATTCCCTTTTCAACAACCGGTTGATAAGAAAATTTATCAAGTAACTTGCGAAATGATACCACATTTATTTGTGGTTCAATTTTTAAATAAGAACATTCGCAATATCGAACTAAATTTGAACGAACAACCTTATGTGAAGTTTTCTGAACAACATAAAATTAACCTTAGATTACACTTGGAAGAATTTCTAATCATAAATCTGGCACCAAATCAAATTTGTAAGCAAAATTACAACTTGAGTGGAAATTTTATGTAAAATAATATTGTTCCGGATGTGGCTAATATAAAATTTGTATTTCGTATTTGATAAACAATTATTTATATATTTATTTGTCCACAGAATAAAAAAAACATTAAATTATTTTTGAGAATATTTATACTTTATCATTATTATTATTTATTTAAGGACTTATTTGATTTATTTGCAGTTACACAACATAAAATGTTGTCATTTAAATATAATTTTTTTTACTTTCATGTTTGCCTTAGTCGGAGGTAATACATGTACACATCTATAATACTTGTTCATTGCACATCTGTTATTATTTTAAGCTTAAATCTCGACCATGATTAATTATATTTCCACCTTTCAACTTTGTGCTAATGCGTTATTAAATTAATTCTATAAATGCACTTAATTAATACTTTGAGTGTTTGTTTCATTATTCATGACTTCGTATCAGTGCAATGATAATTGTATTAAATTTATGAGCTTAATTTTTCATGAAATATAAATAAACAAATCAACATTAATTTTATACAAGTTGCTGAAATTGAAACCTAAGAGGAAGTGAATAGTTTGATGTAATGTGATTTCTTAAAATAGAAAAATTAGAGCTATCGATTCTATTTACTAGAAAAAAAACTATTTCATTCCGAACCAGTACAGTTCTTTTGTATTCAATGACTTGTGCTACATTAGTTGAATTCAATGTTGATCTCGGGAGAACCCTTTGTAAAAACTTCCTCTCATTCTCGGAGATGACTCTCTTGCTTCGTGCTTGTCCCCTTTTCAATCAAATGGCGCGAACCATTTGGTAAAGGACAATAAAAGTTCAAATGTAGTGTTGTGTATTATTTAAATGAACGATTTTTGTGCGCAATGCGGAACGAATATCAACCTAGCCGTTGAGTTCCCAAACCTTATTAGTTCCTTAATTGGTAACACAAACTTTGATTTTAGTAAAAAATATTAGTTCAAATATAGAAAACTAGTGGGTTTTAGATTAATCTAGCAAAGTTTGGGTTTGTTTCCAACTTGAATTTGGAACATTATACTTTTTTAAGGCATATTTTTATTACAATTATTATTATTTTTGATGGAAAAGATTAATTGCGATAATTACGGAAAGCCGTCCTGGAGATTTTCTTTGCTGACCTTTTTTTTTGCATCATGTATATGAAGTTTCTATCTGTTGAAAATGGGTTGAATTCTAAATAATGTTACCGAATTGACATTATGAGATAATTTATAAATTCGAAATATTTCGAGATGTACTGTATGTAACAAAGCGTCGCATGTCAGATGCCCCAAGTTAAAATGGTTCATGAATTTACGATTTTTGATCACCGTATTCTTTCGGTCATTGCGTAATCCATTCACCGAATATGTCAATGTTTAGATTAAAATTTACAAATTAATAAAGTTTGGTTGTGTAATGATTACACATCACAATAGAAATTTAAATAAACGCATAAACATATTACTGGTTCCAACCAATGTAATTTGGCATAAAGGTGTACGTTATTTAAAGTAGAATATGAAAATAAGGAAAATATCATAACCTTAATTAGCTACACAATGATTTTCAGACGTTTATGCTTTTTTGCTGTTAACGATTGAAAATTATTGAAATTACGAATATAAGAGAACGATGAAACGAACTACTAATTCATCAATTTATCTCTGCTTATAAACTGGTTACGTTAATGACATTCATTTCAAAAAAAAAATTTTTTTTATTAGTCCTGTTTTCAGTCGTGGGTCGTACAACTTACATTTGTCGTGCGACGGAACTTTTTAGAAGTTCATTTGATGTCTTATCTGTATCACCTAAATTTTAACCAATAAACCAAATCAAGTACGTTATAATTCAAAAAATCTTTTCACTTTGAGTAACCCGCTAGACTTGCTGTAACCGGTAGATTTACCGATGATGCGCGATGATGCATTGACATATTAGATTTATTAGAAGTAAAAGTTTTTGGGGATATAGGTTTGTCATATTTATTGTTTTACTTTTTCGAAGAAGAGCGCGAACGCGTTACTGTCAGTCACATGATCAAGTAATTACTAATAATAATTTATTCTTTATTAAATAAATTGTGACTAATTTTAGTGCTTAATTAAGCCTTTTCAAAAAAGTACCTTCATCATTAATTTGGTCATCATCAATAAATGGTTTTCTTTTCCAAAAAATTTCAAAATTATTTTTAAACCTCTCAGTGAATTCAAATTCATTTCCAAGAATTAGTTTTTCATACTCCTTTAATAGATCATACCAACTTTTCTTTTCATAGGTACTTTGTTGATTATCATTCATCACGTTAAATTTTCTCTTAAAATTTTGAACAATAACTTCTGGTCTTTTATAATCATAAGTAATCTCAAAAGGGAACCTTCCTTTCAATTGTAAACCAAATATCATAGGTAAGCATACTCCAAACAATGGTTCAATTATTTCATTTTGATTGACCAATTGCAAATATGGTAAGTAACTGGGTTTAAATGGAACTTTGTCGTTACAAAATTCAAGATAAATTGAACAAATAGAATTAAAAGCACGGGTAGTAAGGCGCACTGGAACTTCCCTTTGAGGTATTTCTTGTAACTTTATATCTATCCAGGTTCGTGATTCAACAATATCATCAAAACACAGTTGTGTAATTTCCGAGCTTGGACCAAAACTTTTAAGTATCCAATAATAAAGGTTTGAATGAACCGTTAATGATCTAACTTCCTTTGTTGTTTTGATTGACTTGAAATCGAATCTTAATCCAACTTTGTAATGATCTAACGCATTTTTCAATGCCTTTTCCGGTTGATCAATTCTATCGATTAAAAATTTCAACAAATCAGTCTTCTCATGATCCCTTTCAGGTTTAATCGCCCAAATAAGACAAGTCTCTGCAATAACTGATTTAGATTCGTCTAAAATTCCTTTGATTGAATTCATCAGAAGATCACCAATTTCATTTAATCTATGCTCAAGTAAGTGAAATGTTTCTTCCAAAACATTATAAGTTAAATGAAATCCAAGGTTAATAAGTTGTTTGAAACGATCAACGATGGTATTCACATCAGGACTTTCCCAATTATTAGGTGGAGTAAGGGGGAAAAGGAATAAAAAGGCTCTTCGCATTACATGCTCATTGAAATCTTTACAAATTTCATAATAACCAATTTCTTTCCATAAAGATATTAAATCAGGATGAATTAATATTGCTCCAGCTATCACATCAAGTTGAAAATCTCTCTCATAACCATATTTTATCGAATGCTCTTCATTATCTCTGGTTTGCATTAATTGAAAATATTCCACTGTATCTTCATAAATAGGTTTTGGACGTGATGGGAAAGGGATAAATTTGTTTTTCAAAATTAAGACTTCAATGGAATCAATATTTTGTAAAAGTACCTGAGGATCATAATTAACATTAAGAGGACCAGCCGTTAAGTAATGAAATAATTCCATATCATTCCCTCTAATCTCACAATTTTTAAATATAGAATATCCTTCATAAAGTAATTTTTCGAAAACTTCCATGGTTAATTTACTACTCCAGGTTTCCATTCGGATGATTCTGTTAATTTGATTTAGATTACTTGGTTCTTTAAATTCCATAAGTTTCTCGTCATGAATGCCAAAATTCATGAATATTCGTTGCATAAAATATCTAGAAAATATCACCTTTTTCGAAAGCAAAGCTGTAATAACATCAACGGAGAAGAAGCTTCTACCAAGTCTAACGGCGTGAAATAATGCGTGGGCTGCACCGTATTTATTAATTAACCAATCCGCTCGGGTGTAGGGGTCTTGAGAAATGGTGTGCCATTTTCTATTTGTAACAAGAAGTGAAATTGGACTTTTGGTATATTTAAAGATATCAACTTTTAAATCTTGACATAATGACTGCATGGTTATTTATTTGATGAGATATAAGACAATGCTTTAATAAAAATCTCAAACATAAATTTTCATTTAAAAAGAATTTTTTTTATTTTAAAAAAAAAAAAAAAAAGAGATAAAAAATAAAAGATAAAGGAGGTATTGAGGATTGTATTGAGGATTTGAAAAAAAAAAATTCTGAAACTTTAACAAAGAATGGCAAAAAAATATAGTATTTATAATAAATGGTACTGAACATCAATGCTATTAACGGTATTTGATGAATGATTTTCTCGATCGATTAAAAAACACTTCTTATAATGGATGAATTGCTGATCATAAGGGTCCCGTTTTGTTTTTTCCTTAATGAGCTGTTATTTCGACCTGTTTATGGCTTGTGTAATACTAATTTCACATGATATTTCATATTTCTTAAAAACGTTTTTTTTTTTTTTTTTTATAAGAAAAAATCTTTAGATTTTGATCGAATGATAATATATTAATTTTCAAAAACAAATATTCTTATATCTTTTTTTATGGTACACCAAATTGTCTGACATCATACATTCCTAGTTTCCGCAACAAGTTTGGTAACATATTGATAGATATAATCAATATATTTATAACATTCGAAGTGGAAAAAACAATTTGATTTTTATTTATTTTCATTTATTTTTAGTAATATGTATATTTTATTGTATTTATTAAACAAGAAAAAAAAAGAACTGCTAAATTTACAAAGACTAAACTTCTCGATTAGATAAAAGGATTCTCTAGGGTGTTGGAGCAGTTAGCTATACTAATACGTTGGGCAACATTACAAGCGATTGTAAACATTGACTTCCAGTAAAGTCCAACAAACAGATTCGTTTACTTACGAATAAATTGTCGTTAATAGTTAACGTACCAGGAACTGATCCAGCAGAGGTAAAAGAATTTCAGACAGGATTAATTGCATAGAAATACATTGTTTCATTGTTTATGATTTCATTTAAATAATTAAAGCGGAGCGGATTGCTTATGTATTGTTAATATGAGGTGCAATTTTATAAAAGTGAGTAAATATGCAAAATCCTAATGTCCGCTAAACTTAAATTTAAATTCTACTCTTGAAAAAAACGTGGTTTTGTATTCTAATTAGGAAACGCATTATCAATGATGATGGTTTGGTTTGCAAATTAGGAAATAGATCAAAATTAAACATTATCGTTCTACTTTTACTATTTTTGAGGCTTTTTCATTGTTCTGGAACTTGTTGTATGTTTTCCGTCTTAAAACTGTCTAATTTCTTAAAAACTTTAATTATACCGTTAACATTTTGCTGGTTGGAGAACAAATACAAACATAGTAATTAAGACGATAATTTTGTCATTCTGTTAATGTGGTTGTCAATACAGAATTAACGTCGTGGATTTTTAATTCTTAAATGTTGAAGAATTTTGATCCTTAAAGCTTCAATTTATATTATAAACAGAGTTTGATTTCATAAAAAAAAAAAATAGGAATAAGAATCTTTATTATGTATATAATTTAATAAAATAATTTCAATTATCATTTTTCATATTTTAATAAATTTAATTTTATCTGGTTCAAATTGTAGCGATTTCAAAATAAACCAGGTTTAGAAGGTTTAAATTTTTTTTAACAAAGTATCTAATTTGGTAATATTACTAAAAAATGCATCTCTTACTAAGCTAAATCTCGCAAGCTAGTTACATCACTGGTTCTTTTCAAAATGCGCAACCTCGAAGAATTTTTCAAAAATTATACGCAAATTCAACCTTACCTTAGAAAAATTATTGTAAAAATATTTAAGTTTATGTTATTTTTCTTACAAATTACTTATTACTGGAATTCCTTGGATTTATTTAATAGACAAGATAATCTGAATATAACAGATTATTTGAAAGTGCATTTATATATTAATTGCAAATTATAATTTTATTAAGTAATGTTTCAACTATTTACGTTTTCATATGAACTTTACAATTTATTTTTTCATAATGATCATGAAACGACTGAATAAAATAAAATAATTATTTTGATTCACAAAAAAACTTTATAGCAACTTGAGAAAAAAAAATTTAGAATTCCTCATTATTTGAAGAATTTTTATTTGAATAACAAAATTTATTTTTTTAAAAAAAAACCATAATTTAACTTAATTTATACTAGACTATTTATATAACAAAATTTAATGCGTTTTTAACTAGAAATAATTTTATCTTACGCGATTATTAAGATATCTAGTTATATCAAACTAGAATATTATGTAAAATCTTTGAAACACCTTAGTTTTTTTCACCAAGAATTTCTTTAACATCTAATTGATACTTCTCAAACTTATTCTAAATTAAAAAATTCAAATTAATTAAATAAAAGATTTTGGCCAAATTTTTTATTTTTATTAATGAAAATAAATCTTACATCATGATTCTGTTTAATATTTTTCCACCTAATTTCACACCGTTTCTCAGAATAAATGCTGTAGTTATCGTTAATGTTTCTTAACATAATGGATGCTTTTTCCCAGAGCGGCTTTCTAACTTTTCCTGCTGTAGAACCACGCTTTTTTAGTTCTAAAACCAATTTCTTATTGTCTTTCAAATAAGAAAGCAAATGTTCAGTTGGAATATCCTCCCATACAAATGAATATGTTTTATTTTTATTTATTTTTTCAACTTCTTCACAACTTCCGCCAGAATGTTCGGTATTAGCTTCAAAACCTAAAAAAAAGGAAATGAACGTTTGATTTTGTTATGATTATAGTTATCACCAAATAGTCATCGTTTTTCAATGTATAAGCAATTTTGAAATGAAAAAAAGGTTCGGATTAAGTTTAAAAAATATTTACCTTGATTATAATTGTGATAATCAGACATATTGTTGGAAGCTGTAAGTGTAACATATGTGATAAGGATGTTCATTTAGATCGACCTGTCGTTACTAAAAAGATATAGAAATATTTATTACCTTGAATATGGCTTTCATAATTATTTGGAAGGTTGTTGGTATTTGCTGTCGCAGTGTTATCAGTGAGTCCCGCTATATAAATTATTAATTTGAAGCAAAATGAATTGATTAATACAAGGTTAAATAAAGCTTTATGCAAAGGTTAAAAAATATTTATTACCATAAATATTTTGAAAGATGAATAGTTGCGGAGTTTGTTGAAAATCATTAGGCTGCTGCATGTCTAGACCTAAGAAAGAAGTCAAAATGATAAAATGGTATGCTTAATTTTTTATTAATATAACTAGTAACAAAATATTTAAACGGTATTCATCGTTCTCGGGCAATTTTGAAAATGAATTTTACCTTGATTAAAGTTTTGATCATCAGATATGATAGGCCGATTGTACATATAATTATGTGGTGAGTACATTTCGCTAACAACATCTTGTTTTATAAAATATGATAATCACAAGAAGTTAATAAATTTAAATTTGAAACTTTAAAGAACCAAAATTCAGCAAAAAATTATTTCTGTGAAACTATTTATTTATAATATAATTTTCGTGCCAAATATTTACTCATTCTCAGGTATGAATAAGCAATTTTGAAATGAAAATGAAAGCTTCATTTCAAGTTTAAAAAAATATTTATTACCTTGATGATGGCTTTCATAATTATCAGACATGTTGGTATTTAATGAAGCAAAAATATCTGCTGTTTCCGAAGAAGGCAAATCAAAAGTTTGGGGCTGATTTGTAAATTCCGCAGCTATTATTTTTTTTAGAGCAAATTAAAGATTATTATAGCGATCATAGAATTAATAAGATTAATGAAAGTTTAGAAATATTTTATTACCTTGTATATCTTGGATATTTCCATCATTATCATACGTGTTGATAATATCATAAGTTTCCGAAGGACAATCATAATCAAAAGATGGAGGTTGATTTGTTTCCGCAGCTATAATTAGTTTGAAGAAAAATGAAAAGAATGATTATTACAAAGTTTAAGAAATATTTATTATATAGACTAAATATTCCGCTACCATCTTCTTGTTGAACATTAGAACAATAATTGTTTATTGAACTCATATTGAACGTATATGCAAATAAGGATATGTTGAGCTTATGAGGAATTAAAAAAAATAATAAATTATTATTTTTTGAAAAATTTGAAGCAATTACTGTCATATTTATTATTTTTATTAAAATTGAATTGAGCTTTGAATTGGATTACCACCGATCCAATATTATGAAGATACGTTTTTATTGTAATAAATAAGCAAAAAAATTTTTTTCGAAATTTATTTTTTATTAGTATATTAATTAATATGAAGAGCTTGTTAATCAACTATTTTGCTGTTTATTTAAAATTGCATTTACTGAAAACTTTAATCTTGGAAGGTTTCTCGTTGATATGACGTGACTTAGAAGGTATTGGATTTGAAATTTAGATTGGATTGAACTTTGGATTGAACTTTAGATTGAATTCTATATGCGTAATATTTATGTATTAATAATATTAATAGATCCCATAATATTTTATATGATAAAAGTTTCAATTTCTATTTAAAGAATATAATATTTGAAACAAAATATGAATAGGCTTGCATTGTATATATGTATGCTATAGAAAATCATATACTGTATATGATCTACACCTCAATTTTAATAGCACACCATCCCATATAATACCCTTTGATCTGCCTTCGAATTGATTCGAGTAATTCGAATAAAGTGATTCGAATACAATATAGTCAGTCCCCTCGCACTTAAATAAAAAATTGGATTATAAAAAAGCTAAATAATGTGACTATATGAGAGGTTTTTTTTAACAAGCTTGATAGGACTTCGGCCTAATACAAATGAGGATATGACAATACAGCTTGTAGTGCATTGACTTGAATGTCAAATGACGTTAAATGACATCACTTTTTATTATAAATTTCATGAGTTCTTTTAAAAAAAAAATAAAAATAACAGTATAATTTACCATCATTGATATTGGGATAAAAATCAAAATATTATAAATAAATTTCACCGGTGACATTTAAGGGGGAAAACAAAATTTTTTTGCGCGTGACTCGAGTGACAAATTGTGCATGTCACGTGAAGTATAAAATCACTCGATCAACACGAGAATATTTCAGGGATTTTGAAAAATTATTAAGATTTAAATTTAAATTTAAAATTCTTTTAATAATCACTTTTCAAACTTTTGAATTTTATTAAAAGTTACAAATATCTTCTAAAAAAGTAAAATTTAATATATTAGTATTGTTGCAATTAATATTAGCATATATTTTTCTTATATTATCAGAAAACAAAGGGATAGATTGGATGATATAAGAAAAAAAGCAATGCGAGTAATTAACCATATTACAATTTTATATTAGCATTTATTATTATTATAATTTTATTAAGTATTATTTTTATTAATACATTAGTATGAGTTCAATTTTATTATTTTATTTTTTTATATTATTATTATTATTATTATTATTATTATTTATTAGCATTATTTTAGTATTATTTTCTATTACATGTATTCAATAAGTGATATGTTCTAATAACATTTAGTTAATGCAATATAGATCATTTAACCATTATTGTTTACTAGCCATAATTGTTTCAAAGTTAATTAGTCTACTGGTCATAATTGTTTTCTAGCCTATTCAATCTTCTGGATAATATATCCCATTGTTTTTCATGTATATAAATAGCAGGATTTTTCTTATTCATTCATATTCAACATTATAATTCTCACATTCATTCATGTAATGTTTAATAAAATTCTTGAAATATCTAATAATCCTAAGTAATAAACTTTGTGATATTTTCCTTTCTCTTTATATTTTATTATAATAACTCTGATAATAATTAATAAACTTACTTGATCAATAGAGTATCAATATTAATGATACTATTGGAAACCTATTTTAATGTGTAGCTTAAAAATTTAGAAACTATTTCAAAACCTTTAAAATGATTTTTTTTAAATCTAAAACTTGATAAAACTTGATTGAATTAGGAAATCCTATTAGAAGTTTAGGTAAAGATATTTATTATAAACAAATATTTTTATCTCAAATATCTCGAAACTAAAATAGTTATTAATATTACTAAGTTAAAAAGCCATATATTTAATAAACTAAAAAAGAATATAAATATTTATATATATTATAAATCATATGATTTATTATAATTCATAACTTGATTTTAATAGTAAATGAACATATATCTTTATTAGTTTAAAGTATAATAACAGACTATATAATTTTATAACTAGTGATACAAAATGTTCTTTTATCTATTTGCTCAAAAATTAAGTTAATATATGATTAGTCTGTTTTATTACACATGTATTTTAACTTAACAACAGTTTTATAACTATTCTCTAGTTATATATAAAATAAATTTTACTGTGAACACTCAATAATGAATTCTAGAGTCTAGATCTCAACTTAATCATAAATTTATAATGAATTTTTTAAAGAATTTATTGACTGATTTATTATAATAAGGTATATTTAATATATTTAATTTAAAAATTCACTATATCAAAAGTTCAATATATTTAGATTTAAGGTTTAGTTGTATATAATTTAGAATAATATTATTATATAATTAAAAAATAATATAATTTAATATATTATATATATAGTATATAAAATACAAAAAGAATCACATTTAATTTAATAATAAAATTAAACTTAAAAAAAATATATACTAAAATAATAAATAATTATATAATATATAAAATAATAATAATAAAAAATTTAATAGAAAAATATATTATAAATAAAATAATATTTTAATAAATCTAATAAATCTTATATTTCATAACTAATAATTAAAAATTATTAGTATTAATTATACTTAAATTATAAAGTTAATTCTTATATATTTAAGTAAAAAATTTTTACATTATAAAATAATATAGTTTTTTATTTAATAATATATAAATATAAAAATAAAAATTAAATTATTATGTAAAATTTTACATAAAAACTTTGCAATTTTTTAATTTTTAGTTAAAATATTGTTAATTAAATAACTTTCGACTTAATAATTACATTTTGATAAAAATATAATCATTAGAACTGTCTGAATATAAAACTTTCTAACAAATATAAATTTGAAGTTATTAGACCAATAGAAGCAAAGATAATTTGAAAAGAATGATTACTATTATAACTCTGTAGATCAATACTAAAGAAACTCATAATTTCTTAAGCCGCAATTTAATGATAAAAATGACTAAAATCTCAGAAATTATAATAATATTGTTAACTAAGTTCATTAGTTATTTAAGTTTAATAAGTTTTTTTGTTTATTTAGTTAAATTAGTTAAATTAGTTAACATAGTTAATGAAGTAATGTTTCTTTAGTTTTATAGTTTTACTTTATTTTAAATTAGTAATAGAAGTAGATCAAATATTTTATATAAATAGGATAAGAAATTGCCGTAGTTAAAAATTTGAGTGAAGTTAAGAGTCAGTTTAGATTCAGTTAAGTTTTAATTGTTATTAAAAAATTAATTGTGAAATTTATATTCTGATAAAATTCATGAATAAGAGTTTATTTAGTTTATTGAATCATATTGATCCACTTATATTTTATTAATAAACCAAATATTATTCCTATAACATTGATTTATTAAACTCATAATCTAAAATTACATCTATTATTATTACTCTTCTATCATATTCAAAATATTCATACTTATAAATTGAAATAGTATTAATTCAATAATTTTATTAACATAAATAAGTTCTTAAGATTATTAAGTTAAATCATTATTCTTCAGATATCTATAACCTTGCTATATGTGTTAAAGTCTATTTTTAATGAGTAGATTTCACAATTAACTTGTATAACAATATATAATTTATAATCATTTTATAAATAAATAATATTTAAATATATAAATAAATGTTTTATATATAAATATAAAGTTTTTATAATAATATAAAAATAATTAACATTAAAAATTTAGCTTTTATAAAGAAAATCTTTATTAAAAAAATATTCAATATTTTGATCTTAAATTAATATAAAAAGTTATTAATTAATATAAATTTTTATTTTAATTTATTTAAAAAATATTATTTAGAGCCTTTACAATAAAAAAAGGGGAAATTGTCAGGAAAAATTAATTTTACTTTTATATACCAAATATTATTTTCAGGCTGAAATATGTTCAAATTTAACATTAACTCATTTTTTATTTTTCTAGCAGTCTTCCCTCTTTCTATTGCAAAGACCCTATTAGTTTAATAATTATTTTTTAATATATCTAAAATTATTTTTAATTAATAAGTAAAATTCCTTTTAATCTTTAAAAGAAAACCATTAATAAAATATGTATAAGTTAATAAAAATATTAATATTTACATATTTATATAGATTTTACATACTGATAATATATAAATAAATTAAAAATTATATATATAAATTAATAAATTATTACTATAATAAAAAATTCTTAATAATAACTTATACAAATTCATTTTATATATATATGATTTATCAATTTTTAGTAATAAATTATGCATATTATATATTACATAATATGTGTATATCTGAAATTAATAATATTTATATATATTATGCATATAAATTTTATATACTTCATACTAATATTTAAATTTGATTTAAAATTATAAATAAATTATTATTAAATTTTCATTAATTTAAGAATAATTTATATAATTTATATAATAATAAATTATTTTATTATTTTAATAATAGAAGTATTTTTAAATTTAAAATATATAATAATAAAATAATAAAAGTTAGATTATGATCTAAGAAAATCAAGTTCTAAAAAATATTTTATCAAAATTGATATTTTAATTTTTATTAAATTTAAATTTAAATGTACAGTAATAAGATATTAATTTTAGTCAAAAGTTTCTCAGAATCTAATTTTCTTAGATTACAATCCAAAGTATAAAGACAAATATTATAAATAAAAATTATATATATAAAATATAATTTTTATAATAAATCATTATAAATATAAAATATAAAAAAAGATGTTTTTTTTTAAATTTCAAATTTTTTAAATATTAATTTAAAAAATAATTATTTATATATAATATTATTTTTATTTATTTATATAATATGGGAGCTGATCTATTAAAAATAGGTTACGAGACATAGTAAATCATATGATCTGTACCTCAATTTTAATAGAATACTACCCATATATCTAATTCTGTTATTTTAGTTTTTTTTTTAATAAATATAATTAAAATAATTAATTTTTATCTATTATTTAATTAGTGATTTATATTATAAAAACTTTCTACCTTTTGTTTTGTTTTCTTTTTTTATTTCTTTCAGTAATTTTTTCTTATTTCTTATTATCTTTTATTTTTTTTATATTATCTTATAAATAAACATATTTTGAAAATAGAATTATTCTTTGAAATTCTAAATTATTATTCTATTTGAATATTTAAATAAATGTATCTTTTTTATTTATATTAAAATCAATAAATATTACTATTTAATTAAAAAGAATGATTATTTAAACAACTATCTAACAGTTATAATTCATAAGAATTACATATTAATATATATATGTGAAAGGCAGTCAGTAGAAAAGAGAGAAATCCAAAATTTTTGTTAATTTTAATTATTAAGCTAATTTTGTGCATATGACCGAGATCAGCCAAGTGGTCCAATAATATAAATTTTGATCAAAATTTGGATTTTCCCCTGCCTCCCATATATTATTTAATCTATATATTTATTTTATAAATAAAATATTAAAAATAAATTAATAAAAATTTTCTTTAGTATCAAAAAAACAATTATTAATTATATTTAATAATTAAATTAAATAAATATTCTAAAAAAAATATAAATTATTATATAATATATATAAACTTATTATAAAGTAATTTATTTATATAATATATGTTACCTTAATATTAAATATCTTTAAGTATTACAGGAAAATTATTATTTAATAAATTATTATTTTAGATTTTTATATAAACAATTTTTAATAATCTAAAAGAATATAAAAATTATTATAATTAATTAAAGGATTTGATATAAATAAAAAATAAATATATATTATAATATTATAATATAAAAAGAAAAGGATAATTCCAAAGGGAATAAGATTATAAAAAGAATTACTTTAAAGTTAGTTGATATTAAATTAAATTATTAATAAAGAAATTGAACAAATACACAAAATTTTAAAATTATATTAAATATGAATAAAAAAAAATCATTATAAATTAAATTAAAATAAAAATGTCTATATAAAGGAACCAAAAATGCATTTTAAATATGAGGCATTTTGTCAGTAAAAAAAAAAAATATCTTATTTAGTGTTTTCTTTTTTAATGTCAATTATCCATGTGTTTGTTATCTAAATTTGTCATTCTAAATTTGGCAACAAAGACCGCAAATTAATTCAAAGATATTATAGTGCGTAAGTTTACTATGTAATAAGTACATTTGTTTTTATTTATGAAATTTTATTTCAGGTGCAGTGTAGTTTGTACAAATTATTTGGTGTAACAATGGGGTGTTCAACTAGTTAAACATATTACAATATGCATTTAATACAGGCCTTTCTTGAAATTGGTGGCATTTTATACGAAATTCTAAAATTCGATAAATTATGCTTTATTAGTTTTATGCAATACCAAATAATTAAATGAACTCAGGATACCTTTTAAAAAAGTCAGTATGGTGCTCTTTTCTTAAAAAAACTAGCAAAAAAAAATATTTTCTTCTATTGATATAATATTCTTTTACGACTTTCGTATTTCTTTTTTGGGAAAAAAGTTTTCTATTACACAAAAGGGTCAAAGATTTATAATACTTTCGCAAAATTTAGGACACAAAAAAAAGAAAAGTAGAATTCAAAGTTTTATAGAAATGCAAAATTTTATCGATTTATTATGAAATTTATTATAGGAAGTTTTTAAATTTTATATGATACCATATATAGTTTGTTGATTGAACATCCCAATGTAACATGTATTTTTATAAAAAAATAATGAAAAAAATTTTTTTATGTATTGAAAAGTTCTGAATAACAAAAGACACAGTTATATAGTTTTTTTTTTTGGAAATATTTCAAAAAAAAAAATTTACATTTGCTTTTGCGGTCGACCAATAAGATCATGTTTGCACTTGTGACGCAATGCGCGACAATGTTGAGCGTTGACACGATAAAAAAAAAATTGTCAATTTTTAAAAATGTACTTATTACAAATTGAATGCCTTCGTATATAATGTTAAAGAACGAGGTTGATTAATTCGGAAAATCAGGAAATTTTCACCCGTCACTTGACAGTTATGCCGCAGTATCACTCATTTAATAATTCTTTAAAGTACTAAAACTAGGTTATTGTTAACTTAACCTGTCATATTGCGTTTAAAAGAAATGCAAATCATTTCACTTTAACTAAATGATAATATTAAGGACCATAAAGAAACTTTTTATTCTTTTATGTTTTATGTTTCTTTAATAAACCATGATGTGAACGAAAAATATACAAATATATTTATAAAAATATTTTTAAAATCTGAACGGGTGAATGTACAATAAATTTTTGTAAATACTGTGATAAAAAATCCTATATAACTATTCAATAAAAGAAAAAATGATAAATTTTTTTTTGTTTTTTTTCTTTTTTTTTTTTTTTTAATAATATTTATAAGAAAAAAAAAAGAACTACCAAACTTATCAAATTTATATTAGATATGGATGAGAAAAACCTCTCGAGTAAGTATGAGAATGATGGATTTTGCCTAGGGAGTCGGAGCAGTTAACAAACCAACACATGCTGCCATACAAACACCTTGGGCAACATTACAAGCGATTGCGGCGAAGGGAGCACCAAGACCACCAGTAACGGTACCTAAAAAATTGAAATTTGTTTATTTTACGAACTAATCCATTAAATTTCCATAAATATTGATAAATGATATATACCAGCAACTAAGCCAGCAGAGGCATAACAAGAAACCCAACCAACATTACATGCAGTTTGACATACTGCATAGGCAATAGGCCCTGCGTTAACATTTGCTGGTTGGAGAGCAAATACGATCATAGCAATTAAGACAGAAATGTGAGAAAATTTTGCCATGGTTTATGTTGTTAAAAGTAATTTTAAGTATTTTAAGGGAATGTTAAAATGAAAGTTAATGGATTAATTTTTATATTATAAATTGAAGGGCGTTATTATAATATTGTGAGTGAGAAATGCAAATTTGCTAATGTCTTCGCTCTCTTTAAATATAAATTTTACTCAAAAGTGGTTTTGTTTTCTAATTAGGAAATGACTTATTAAAAAAAATTGGTTTTGTTTTCTAAATTTGGAAATACGATTACGAGAGGTAATTTGTACATATTAAGCATTATTGTTCTAATTTTTATTATTTTTGAATGTAACAATGCATGATGACAATCATGGGAATGATGGCAGAAACTATTATCGTTATGTAATTTATGATTCAGATAGATATATGCCTTAAAGATCTGAACGACGAAGAAATTATTAGATACAGAAGAATTTGCAAAATTGATAGACCGATTAGATCATATTCTTAATGCGCGATTTCGAAAACACTAGAATTTACGCAAAAACGCTTCATGAGTTCTTGGGCAAAGAAACAAAGCTTTATTACTCAACGCCAAACTGTGTTCTCACGCCATTTTTTGTGTAAATAAATAAATGCACATTAAGTTCAAGCGTAATTTTATAAGAAACAGCCATCAACGCATGCTGCCATACATACAAAAATTTTGGGCAAATTTGGCCTTATGATCCGTAATGTGATTTTACTGGAAACGCTCCCATTTGATATAATTTATATTGTTTTTTATTTTTAAAATACAAAAATATACAGTATTTTAAGAGATAATTCACAATTTAACAAAAATATATAAAATATTTATAATATAACAGTATAGGTTCTAATGTGAATAAAATAATAAATACTGCATCACAAATTTATTAATTATTGAATAAAATATCAAAATTATTTAATTTTATATTATATTTCTTTTATATATAGTATTAAATTTTAATTACTTTAAGAACTTGTTTTTGATATTTATAGTAAAAGTAAAATTAGGAATGCAATACAAGTAAAAAATATTACTGAAAAAAATCCATAATAATATTATATTTATAAAAACAAATCATTCTCTCAAGTTTTTCAAAATGAAATGATTAAAAATTTATTTGTTAATAATACATTATACTAATTTTAATTAAAAACTTAATCCAAATTAATTTTTATCTATAAATAATATATAAAACAAATAGAATTGTATATATACTTAAACATATATTTTTATAATTATCAATTATATTTAATATTTAAAAGTTTAAGTTAGAAATTTTAATAATAAAGTTTTTATTATAATTTAATATTTAAAATTTTTTCTAATTATTATTTTAAATATTATAAGTTAATTTGAAATATTTGCATAATTTCTTTTATAATTATAATATTTTAATTTTTTTAATATTTTAAAATAATTTATAATTATTAAATAATTCATAAATTATAACATAATAATTATTTATTTAAAACTAAACTTGAATTAAAGAATCAAAATACTTTATAATTTAGAAAATCTTTTATTAATAAGAAAATTATTAATAATATAATAAATAATTATCATTTATAATATAATAATTAATAATTTTAATTAATTTATAATATTTCAAACATATTATATTATCTTATTCCTTTAATAGTTTTTCTTCCAAATTTTACTTACTAATTAACTTAATTTTAAAAATATTAATTATCAAAAAAATAATATTTATATAAAAATTATAATATTTTTTAATTAAAATCAAAAAATTAATTTAAAATTAAAGTTTTGAATATTTTTTAATAAAAGCCAAATCTATAATTTTACATATAAATATTTTATTTTTAAAACATTTATTTATATATTAAAATATAAAAATTATAAATTTAAAGTTGAAAATTTGACATATATTTAATATTATAATTATTAAAAATGAAATTCATTTAAAAATAATATATTCATAATAAATTTTATAATGTATTTTAACTAAAAATTAAAAAATTGTAAGTTTTTATGAGAACTTTGTATAATAATTAATTGAATAAAAATCATTATTATTTAAGAAATAATAATTTTTCTTTTTATTATTATATTTTTATTGATATATTTTTTATTATTTTTATTTTAAATAAAAGTTTTTATTTTATTATGAATATAATATTAATATTTTTCTAAAAATCATATTATATTATCTATTTTATGATGTTGACTTAAACATCTAATAATATTTGAAGCAGGTATGTTAATATTTCATTTATTTTAGAATCTATTAAATTTTAAAGCATTAATTCAATTATATTATGCTAAATAGCATCAACAATTTCTTGGCCAATATATCAACTCCAAATCCTTTATTACATTTTTATCTAAATATTTACAACATTGCTTGATGGATTAAGCACTTATTAACGAATTACAAATTATATGTTTCTTTATTATATTTAGCAAAATTACTTTTTTTAAAAAAAAAATAGATAAGTACAATGATTTGATACTAAAACATTAAGTTTTAATGATATAAAGATCCATTTCGTCATCTATTTCAGGTATTAAATAATACTCAAGATCAATAAAATCAGTAATATATGCTTATTTATATTTATTAATACTAATAATTTACAAATGTATAATAATATGTATATTTTTATTTACTAGCTTAAAATATATTAATGTAGCTTATTCCGATATAAAAAACCTAATTTATAGTTTATTTTTGATATCAATAAAAATATCAAAAAACAAGATCGTTTACATCATATAGGTGAGCACGGTGAGCATGATAAATTTTTCAAATTTTATATTAATTCGTTGAATGGTTCTTATAGATAACATAATAAATTTTCTAACGAACTTCTTTTTTTCTAGTACAAACAGTTCGTTATTAAAAAAGTGGCTGTAGTTTTTTTTAGACGCCTCGTTGCCGCTTGGATAAGTTTTTTTTTTGATTTATATTATGTTTTTCATTAAATATTAATTTTTTTTAGGTAATTTCTTTACGGTTTGTTCTATTGATAAAGTTTTCTATATAAAAATTATAATATTTTTTTTGGGAAGGTTCGTCTCGAATGAATTATTTTTATTTTTATTTTTTTTTGAATATTGCGCAATTTAGGTTTCCTTTCAGTAGTGTGATGAATTATGGCTCGAGTCTCTCTATTGTTAATAATCCTTCTAAAAAGTTGAAAAAAAAAATCCTCACGATTGATTAAATTATAATTCTTCACAAAGTAAATTAACAACGTCACTAATTTTCGTCATTCATTTACATGGTATTTAGAATAAATTTTACAACATATTTATGTTATCATTTTCATACAGATGAATTTCTCTAAGATGCACAAAAAATGCAATTTCTCATGTTCATATTTTTCATATTTAAAATGTATTCATTATGATAGATTAAAAGAAATATCTTGCTTATGATGAAAGTGGTAAAATTTATTTTGCAAATTGGAAGGATGGAGAAAGAATGAACCAAAGAAAAAGTAGTGGTCCTATTTCAGTTGCAATAAATCACTATTTTCCGAATCTTATTATTATAATTTAAATATATTCCCTTTTTCTAAATAATAAATAAATATTTTTTATATAAATAAATATTATTATAAGAACTTCTAAATAAAAGTTTAAAAATTTAATTAAATATGATAATCTATAAAATAACTTACTTCCTAGATTTTTAAAAAATCAAATATATATTTTTTTAAATTATATTAAATAAGTATTATTAAATAATGATAAATATAAAAATAACTTACAATCTAAATTATTA